TTGAAACTTATTCATCGTTCGCTTTCGCGGATAATGACACGAAACGGTCAGTTTTCGAGCTTTAGAGTTAAAAAAGAAAATGTAAAGAGTATTTTGTTTTTTATTACTCGAGAACGAGAAAAGAAAAGAGTATATATATTTAAGAAACGATTAAATTTTTCAGACGCGGTTCGAAGATAATTAACGTATTTTTCTTTTTTAAATTATTTCGAATCATCGCGAATACGTTTTAATTGTTTCATTGATTTTTCGATATATATAATAGGAAATGACAAATACGATCTCGACGATGCTCGTCGAGTTAATTACCGCGAATAATCACCGCGATTGAAAATTATCGAGAACGATGAATTATATTTACTCGTTGAATCGCGTTAAATGTAAAATCAAATTTCGTTCCTCGACGAGATTCGCGGATTAATCCGCGTTAAATCACGCCGGAGGATGGATCACTGTGAATAAATTATTTACACGGAAAGTGTAAAGGAAAGTATGATCGGGTTTTTCAGCGGATCAAGGCGTACAAGCGGCATCCCACCAGCGCCAACTTTCGCTCAAGTACAGCGAGATTCAGCAAAGATTGATCGATAATCAGAGTTTGTTGAACACGTTGGAGAAAGCCGGTGACCCGACAAGCCTGGAAAGTCTGTTATCCGAGCTGAAACGGAGGGTCGAGCAGGACAAGGAAGCTCTCAGACAATGGACAGCTTTGAGGAAATCCACTCAGAGCGGTGGGAACGCGAAGAATCCACCGCTGGCCGCCACACTGTTGCAGTTCTCCAAGGGTTGCGAACTTGCCCTCGAATTGATGAGCGAGAACAGCCCACAGGTACACAACTTTGATCCTATTTGTCGATTCGATCGTTTGTCATTTTATTACTCGGGTCAAAAGTTAGAGTATCTATCGTGGACGAGTGCAAAAGATTATTTTTTATAGAAACTTTTATCTAGAATTAATCTAAAAGTGGACGGTACACAGATTTTTTCCTCCGTTGTAACGAAATATTAGACATTCTACGTAGATTGTCGCGAAGCTTTAATATTGCCAATGAAACGCACTCGAAAAGTCTACGTTCTGCCTCGTACATTACATATTATTACAAAAATTTTCAAGTATTCGGCTTTTCTTTTGGACGATACGCGTTCAATGCTTGCGCGAAATGTTCAATCGTTTCATATTTTTCCACGATCGTTTCTGTGTACGTTTTTGTCAAATACGTTTTACCAAAAAAAAAAAAAATGGGCGTCCGGTACGAAAAGATCCTCCTCTCATATTTGGCACCAACGTTAAATCGCTATTCACGAATGGAACGCTCCGCGAAGAATGCATACATAAATCGTGCATTCAAAATCTCCGTATATATTATCATATAGATATACGTTTATCATAAAATCCGATCCAATTCGATCCATTTCGACGAATGTAATATTTATTTGGCGAAACTGGGTGCTAATTTAGATAAGCGGATGATGCGAAGTAGTCGTGAGTCGTTAACCTAACCTTACCTAGAGAAGTGTCGCGAGAAAATGGCCGAAATAGTTGATGGGCAAAGCTGAGATCCAGAAAAGTCGTATGGCTGTCCCTTAAGGACCCTTCAGCGATCTTGAGTCGCAACGATACTGCACGAAAACGCAAACTCGTCCAATAATTCTTGCAACGTGATTATTACGCGTATAAAATCGATGAATCGTTTCTCCGTTGAGCATAACGTAGCATTGAACGAACGTTTCGATAACCACGAGAATTCACCACTCGAAACGTGCAATATACATAACAGTTATATAGTAGCCTAGAGAAAGAAGGAAAGCTCGTAAATAAATTAATGCAATTTATCCCTCAGAATGTTCCATCCTTTCGTTTTCACGTCATCACGATATCAAAAGTGAAACTATCGTCTCGGTAAAAGTCGAGTCGAAGCCCATTCACCGAAACGTAAGAGACGTATCGTTGCAATTTTTCAGCGATTCGAGGGGGGCGACGACTACGAGGAGGAATCGAGCAGCAGCGCCGGTTATCACACGGACGAGAGTTGCAGCCTTACGCCGGAACCGGCGCTCGTGTTTCTGGACGGGAGTGGGGGCAATTTTTCGGTTGGCGGCGACGTGAGCGCAGAACGGCTGGCCGAAATGTACTCGGCCCTCTACGACCACGCGCATTTGCACACGTTGGACGCCCTGGACGCCCTCCGCCCCCTCAACGACGCCCCCGATTTGAAAGCAAAGATACTGTACTCGGTGGTGGTGGTAAGTAATGGCAAGTTTGCGCGAGCCAGGTAGGTAGGTAGGTTGCGTCTGCTCGTTCTATTTAAATCAAGAGAGAATTTTAAAATTGGAAAGTTACTTAGAGGGTGATGCTTTATCAAAGAGCATTAAGCGCATTAGGTTAATTGTAGGGTTGAGGCTACGAGGCTATGTTTCTATAATATTAATATTTTAATTAATTACTTTTTTTTAAACCGCCAACTCTTTTAAGGCCAGTTTTTTTTTCTAAATTTTGAGAGAATAATATGAAAAGTAATATTATAGGAAGCAAGCATTAATCTTTTATTTTGTTAAAATTTCAATCTGTAAGTTTTAACGAAGCCCGGGGAAAGGGGAGGAGGAGGAGGAGGAGGAGGAGGATGTATTTTAATCCAGGAAGTGGGGAAATATTGGTATTATTGTTGAAATTTTCGATAATTGGAAAAGGTGTTGCAATTTATGGAAAAATATTAATCTCCATAAAGGCTTTTTACCTTTAAGCGGGAGAAGAATCGGTGGTCGCCCCTAGAGTGGAAGGAATTATACCGTAATAGAGTGGCGAATGGAAAGAAAGGAAACACGGTTAACTAGTTAAGAGGATGATTTAGTTATTACACGGGCAGGAAAAGATCGTTAAGATAGAAACGAAATATCGAGAATTATCTATTATAGTCTCTTTATTACTTTTATAATAGAGAAAACTTGATTAATAACGCGATACGAATACGAAAGTTATCCACGAGACATTCGATATTAAATCTTGGAAATCATTTCTTCGGTATATTCGCGCGGTATAAACCCTGCAACACAAGTTTATGGGGCAAAGTTTTTAGCCACCCTCTTCGTAATATTCCTCGATCGATTTCCTCGAGATTATTTTTACCGTTTTTAAAATTCGTAATCATCGTCCATCACAAGACATGACTCTGAATCTTTAAATGTATCGATCCAATTTTCTTTTTTTTCAATAATACAATGTTAGAATCTTTCATCCAATTTTATTTTAACTCGACCATAGCAATAATAATAATTGCGGACGATCGAGGTGTTTGTCTTCTTCTTGAATTTCCAATTTCCGTTTCTCTTTTATCGACTCGTCGAATAGTTTCGTGGAACGACGAGTGGATATAACGAGAGGGGGGAGGAAGAAAAAAGATGGAAAGAAGGGAAAACGAAGGAGATCCAAACGAATGATGGAATAACAGCCGATGAACAAAATCGAATTTTAAATCTGTCCTTCTGTATTTTATTTAAATAGAAGAAAATCCGTATGGAAAAGTGCAAAAGCTCTTTCACATTTTGCAAAATGACCAAATTAAGTTATTTCGTTGAAATTGAAATAGGGAAGAGGTTACACTTTGTATCTAGCAGTAGCTTGTAATGGAGATTATTATTATAATTTAAATTCCGTGAAAATACAAAAAGATTTCTTTCTTCGTAATTATTGCAATAATATCCTGTCATCGCTGTTATTTTAGTTTTCAAAAATATTTTCGATATCGATCACATCTAAATATTTCTAAAGTTTCATATATGAAAGATAAACATCGTTCTCATTAGCACGAAAATGAGAATTTCTTCGTAATTATTATATCCTGTCAAACGTCATTACGTCGTCATTTTAGTTTCCAAAAATATTTTCCATATCGCACATCTAAATATTTCTATGGCTTTTTTGGGGGAATAAAAGGGTATAGATAACAAAGATCTCATTAGCGTTAGACGAAAATTGTCACGAGTTTCCTTCTCGAAATCGCGCGATCCTTCTTCCTTCACCGTTGATGAAATCGCGACGGAGGTTAACAACGACCAGTTTCGAGCCCAAAACTGCTTGCCGATTATCCATCGAAACAACGGTGCCGTATTCCATCGAAATCGGTGGATTTATGACGCGAGTAATCAGAAGTTTAGGTTCGAGGCGTGCTTGCGCATGCGCACGTGCGTGTGTGTATGTTGGATCGCCTGTCGCGCGGAGTGAAGGCCGGGTGTCGTTAAAGGTGTCGAAAACCGCAGCCTCGCGGTTATCGGGTTGGCGAGGGGGATCGTCGAAACCTCGCCTCTTGCTTTCGCTCGACGACGCTTCGCAAAAGTTAGTTTCTCCGCCGAGGAACCGCTTAATTTTATTCGTTATCGGCTGTCAAATTGGGGGGCGGGGTATGGAAAAACTTTATCGCGTACAGAATGGACAGGCGTTGGAAGACGAGAGAGCGGTGTTGGAAGTTGGAAGTTTCAGAGACGCGATTGGTCTCGGTTCGAATTCGTTCGTGGGCGAGAGGGGGGCGGGGCGGGGAGAGTGGTCGAGGTAGAATGTGCGACAAAGTATGAAACAAAAGGAACGAGAGAGGGAGAGAGAGAGAGAGATAGCGCGCTAGAGCGGTTGAAAGTCGAATTAATCCTTATCCAGCGCTCGCGTAGCTTTTACGTTGGTGAAACAGCTCGTAACAGCCGGGTTTTCAACAAGTTGGCTCGTGTTTTGCGGTAACGATTTAAATCATCGGATGTTTAGCTTTCGACCGTGGAAACGGGAGTAATTTCGAGTAATTTTGCCATCCGAGCGGGAGCGGAACAACGTTGATCTTAACGCCCCGATGGAACGAAAGGAGACTCTCTCGATCGATCGATCGATCGATGCGCCACCGCACGTATCATCATCGGTTTCACTAGCGTCGAGGGAATGAAATTACGAAAAAAAAAAAAAAACGTAATCTATGAATGCGAATCCATTTTAAAGTAAAAGAGAATTGGTTTCGGACGAAATTTAATAGTTGAGGTGTACGAATCAAATTCAAACCGCGATAATAATCGGAAATAATCGCGAAACGGTCGAGATTATACGTTATTCGAGCATTTTAATTTAAGTGCTATTAATTGCTTAAAAGTAACTTCGTACGAAATTTTTAACTTTGACTCTCCTTCAAGTTGGCCAGCTCTGAAACGAGCTTTGAAGCTAAGAGAATAAGCTTAAAGAAATTGAACGAAGCGGGTATGGAGCGTATTCTAGAAGAAAAAAAGAAAAAAGAATCGAGAGAAGGAGAAAGGCGGAGACGAATTGGAAGGATTATTTCGAACAGGGTGCGCATAACGATAGATAGATGGAAGATTATTTTTGCCGACACCGTTACCACGCACCTGTCTCTCGGCCGATCGATCGACCATTAACGTCAAAGCCGTCGCGCGTTGGGAGGGGGGGAAGGAGGGCGACTAGGGTGCACTTTTGCGATCAAGTGTACCCGGCAAGTGGCAGAGGCGCTAGTCCGTCAGCCTGGGGCTATTACTTTGCATACATACAGGTAGCCATCCCGTATACGGTAGCCAGCCTGGGAAATCGATGAACTAAAATAATACCTGCGACGAAACCCTCTCTCTCTCTCTCTCTCTTCTCTCCTCCTT